CATGTAGTCTCCTAGCGCCTATAAAGAGCTTCAGGCCACTACTTCCAACACCCACATTCTTATATTTCCTTTCCCCAGCCTTCTCTGGTCTCCCCTCCCTCCTGCCCCCATTCCATATGCTTCCTTCTGCAATCCTCTCTGTGTTATGTTCAGAATAGTGTATATTTGGAGCAAGTCATTTTTAATCCTTTAGTTGAAAACATTCATTCATTCATGAAACATTTAGGCACCGATAGGTTGAGAACAGTGCTAGGTGACTAACTCTCATCTCATCATCGATTCTGTAATGCAGGAATGTTATTTTAACTGCTCTTAAGGCTCATAAGGGTTGTGTCACTTGGCCACAGTCACACAATTTGTTTGGCAGAGCCTGCACAGCTGGCTCTGAGTTTGTCTCATGCGCCAAAGACTGCACGGAGCCCTCTGTGCGGTGTGCACAGGAAGGCATGAGGATTACAGGTCGGGAGGGTAACCGGTCGCATCGCAGGTCCCCAGGTCTCTGCAGAATCCACGTTCTTTCTGCTGTGCCATACTAATGACAGACACGGGTGGTGATACGTGCCTTGATGTTTCTGTTGTCTGCAAGGTGCTCTGGGAATCCAGAGGTGAAGTGGACCCTGACAGGTGCCCTGGCGTTTCAGAGAAGAGGTGGCATTTGAACTAGACCTTAAAAGAGGAGCTTTTCCAAAGACAGAAATAAGGGAGGGCACTGTTGTCAGTGAGGAAACCCTCTTGAAGACACGGAGGGATCGCACAGTTGGGTGGCAGGAGCTGTGCTGGTCGCTGCCGAACGTGGGGTGGGACGTGTGCACAGATGGCTCCATGGGGCCCTTGTGGACTGTGCTCTGGAATTTGGGTTCTTTCTCTTGTCTAACATGGGGTCATTCGGGGGAAGCAGTGTGATCAGATTTTTTTGTTGGGGGGTGTATAAACTGGCGGAATTGGGAAGGATAACCTAGGAGGGCTGAGATCAGTTAGACCATACCCGTAATTCAGACAAAAGCCTGACCCAGGACATTAGTGGGGGATGAAGAGCTCCAGGAGCAGAAGCCATAAGAGGCAGACACGCCTGGCCAGTTCATCGGCTGGACACACCGTTGCCATCTTTTTTTTGGGATCAAACCATTTTATTGAGGGGCTTCAGGGAAATGTCAAAGGGCTGGGAGTTCAGTGAGATCAACATCCTCAGCCTGGCCGGGACCTGCCCAGCTTCACAGTGGCCTGAAAGTTCTGTAGACCTTTTCTTGTTTGTTTTTTTATTTTACTTTATTTTATTTTAAGAGAAAGGGGAGGGGTGCAGAGGGAGAGGGGGAGAGGGAATCTTAAGCAGGCTCTACACCCCACGTGGAGTCTGACACGGGGTTCAGTCTCACGACTCTGAGATCGTGACCTGAGCCAGAATCAAGTGCCAGATGCTTAACCAACTGAGCCACCCAGGTGCCCCTTCTTGTTTGTTTTTAAAGCCAGAAACACAACTAAACTCACTTTCACAAACTTGCTCTTACACTTATTTTTAGTGTGGGTGGCGACCCACACACCGTTTGGCTTGCACGTAGTGTGTATGTGTGATGTGTGAGTGTGCACACTGACTGTAGTGTGTTATACACGCAGTATTGAAATTTTCTTCTTTCCTCCCCGTTTAAAATATCTTGGAGGTCGTGTTTTGTCCGTAAATCTGGAGCTGCCTCATTCCTTTTGATATTGCTTAGCATTTCACTATACGGACATGCCCCAGTGTCTTTGGAATACATAATGCATCGTGATGGACATTGAGGTTTCTGTTATTTTGCCATTACAAATGAGGTAGTGAGTATTCGTGTATACAAGTACTATTGTGCACATATCTGAATTTCCAGAAATGAGTTCTTAGAAGATTTGAAATTCTTTGTGAAATTGCGGAGTCAGATGGACTTGTGTGCATTTGTGATTTTAACATATTGCTAAATTACTTTGCATACTGCCTGTTTTCCTGTACTCTCACCAACACAGGACCCTGATGGCAACTCCTCGGGAAGGTAAACCTGGTACCTTCTTGTGTTTTACAGATGTTTGAGCCATTTGCATTTCCCTTTTATCCTTTTTAAATTTTTCTCTTGAATTATTGACCTTATTTAGCTATAGAAGTTCTTGATATTTTAAGGAAGTTACCCTTTTGTCTGGTATGAATTCTAGATATTTGTCCCCAGTGTGTTATTTGTCTTTTAGCTAGTTATTTGACTTTTGGTAGTTATTACTATAAACTTTTTTTTAGTTAAATTTATCGGGATTTGTATATATGTGCCGGGGGGCTTTAGAATTTCGTGTTACACTTAGAGAAGATTTCCCTTTTCTATGAATATTTTTGAAACTCTCCCATTGTTTTTCTTTCAGAACTTGCATAGTTTCAATTTTTTTTTTTATTTAAATCTTCCAGCTCTTTGGAATATATTTGAGGGTAAGGTATTGAGTATGGATCAGACTTTTCCCCCATTGTCTCAACACTGTGCATTGAAAAATGAATCTCCCCATTGATTTGAAATGCCATTAGGTATCTTCTTATTCGTGGATATTATCTACCCAGACAGACCATAAACTTTTAAAAGGCAACAATTAGATATCATCCTATCTTGAATCCCCCATAAAGCTGAGCATAACGTCCTGCATAAAAGAGGTATGACAGTGTTTTTATATACAAAGAATTGTGACTTACATGTATAGGAAAGTACGCAAAACATTCACATACAACTCAGTGAGAATTTATAAAGTGAATGCCTGGGTAGCCACAACCTAGGTCAAAAATAGGCCATTTCCTCCTCCTCAGAAGTCCCCGGCACCCCTGTCCCATTCACATTCCTCTTCCATCCTCCAGAGGCAACCACTATCTTGACTTGTGACAAGGATTTTCTTGTTTTACTTTATAATAAGATTGGACCATATAAAATCACCATTGTTTGTAGGTAAAAAGCCGTTGAATGTCTGCCATTTCATATTTCAGCCTAGTAATTTTACCACCTCTGCATGTGTCTTTAAACAGTATAGTTTAGTGGAGCCTACTTTTGAATATTATTTAAGTGTAATCTTACTGTATTTGTTCTCTGCCATGCTTCTTTCCATTACTGTGACCTTGTGGTGCTCAACCATGTTGTCGAAGGTTGTCGGTTCTCACTGCTAGAGAGAGCCCATCGTACGATGTACCACACTCTATTTATCCATCCCACTGTGGCGGGATTATAGGTTTCCAGTTTTGACTATTGAAAACAAGGTTGCTATGAAAATCTTTGTACATGTGTTTTGATGCATGTAACTAAGATTTCTTCTAGGACAGAATCCACGAAGCAGGGCCCGCTCCCTAGTTTTGTTTTTTTTTTTTCAAGCCTTTAATGATTTTATATGTATAGAAGAGTTGCAGAGTTGGAACAGAGAGTTTGTGTATACCTTTTATCCATCTACCCCTAATGTAAGCATCTTACATAGTTATGGTGCACTTAAAGATCAGACATTAATGTTGTTACAATATTATGAACTACAGACTTTGGATTTTGTCATTGTTTCCACTAACATCCTTTTTCTGTTCTAGGACCAGTGTGGGATACCACATTGCACTTAGTTGTCCCATTTCTTTAGACATAAAACAAACTTACCAACTACAGTATAGTATTTGTGTAAAGTTCTTTCTGTTTTTAGCCACATATAGTAGCCAAAAGCTCCTTACTATGACATAGTCATTTGGGTCTCCTTTCTTTCATTGAAAAAAATCCATTTAAAATTCATCCAGGCTCCGTGCCTCAATAATTTGTTCCTTTTGTGAATGAATGAATGTAGCAAATGTCCTACAACATAAAATTTAACCGTTGGCAAGTAAGCACTTCCGTGGTGTTTAGTACATGTACAGGGCACAACCACCACGTCTGTCCAGTTCCAGAACATGTCCATCACCCCAGCACAAAGCCCCGTACTCGTCCCGCAGTTGCTGTGCGCTCTGTCCCTCCTCCCAGCCTCCAGCCGCCGTCAGTCTGCGTTCTGCTTCCGCAGCCTCACCATTCTGGCTATTTCCCGTGGGCAGGGCTGTGCAGCGTGCAATGGTTTGGGTCCAGCTTCTTTCACATGTCCTGTTTTTCAGGTTCATCTGCCTTGTAGCGCATGTCAGTACTTCCCTCTTTTTTTTTTTTTTTTTTTTGGTTTAAATTGTGATAAAATATATATAACAGAAGACTTGCCATTTTCACCATTTTCAAATGTACGGTTTAGTGGCATTAACTACTCTCACAACACCATACGGCCAGTCCCCGCGGTTCCCAAAACCTTTTCATCCCCCCACGCAGAAAGGCAGTGCTCAGTAAGTCCCCTTTCTCTGCCCCTGACGGGCCTGGTACCTTCTAGTCTAATCTCTCTCTCTAGGAATTTGCCTGTTCTGGGCATCTCTAAGTGGAGTCACATAGTAGCTGTCTTCTTGCGTCTGGCTTCTCTCACCCAGCATCAAGTTTTCCAGGTTTATCCATGTTGTAGCAGGTTTCGGAAGCTCGTTCCTTTTTAGGTTTGGATGATACTCCATTGGGTGGCGACCCCACATTTTGTCCAACTGTGGATGGACATTTGTATTGTTTTCACCTTTTGGCTCTCATAAATTAGCCTACAAGTATCCAAGTGAGTCGTTATTTTTTATTCCTGTGTGTGTAGCCCTAGGAGTAGAGTGGTTTGCCGTCCCTGGTGTAGAACGCGGACAGCACGGCAGACTGAATTCTGAAGTGGTTCTACCACAGTCTTGACAATCTTGACTTGATTTTACCAGATTCTTCAGCTTTTGCCAGTCTGCCCAGTGTGCCGTGGTGTTACACTGTGATCTTAATGTTGCATATCCTGATTCCTAAAGGAGTTAGTTGAACACATTTTCACATGTTTATAAACCATTTGAATTTCTTGTTTTGTAATGTGCCCGTTAACGTTCCTATTGGTGGTTTGCCTTTCTGAATTGATGTTATGAACCGATGCCTCCAAATAATGTTTACTCTGTGTCTCTGCAGAACAAATAGTGGAGAAAGATGAAGGTCCGTATTATACTCACCTGGGATCTGGCCCCACGGTAGCCTCTATCCGGGAGCTCATGGAGGAGCGGTGAGTGACGCCCAGGTGTCCAAGCAGAGGTGGGCAGTTAAGAGAGCGTGGCATTGAGGCGCCTCTCATTGTCATTGCCTCATACCGGACGACGAACAGGAAGGAGGTCACGATACCCAGACTGGAAGGTTGACTACGGGGCTCTCCCCATAGGTCTGCCCTCTCTCTTCCCCTCCCCGGCTCTTCTCTCTCTCTCTTGAACTACTTTTTATTGAAGAAATTTGGTGAAATGACCCTGTCCCGTAGTGTTTCTCGAGGTCTGAATTTTGCTGCTGGCTTTTTTGAAGTATCTTTCACTGTGTCCTTCTGCCCTCGCTATGGCCTGTAAATTCACAGCTGGAGCTAAAGATGTCATGGGAATCAGATCATTTTTTCTTTCTTTTTTTCAAAACAACTTCATATGTGGTTTTTTGTGCCTCCACTAGGAGAAATAGAATGCTTCCTCGTTGGCCAGTGGGTGTCTATTCAGGTTATACCCTGAGTTGTTGCGACGCTGTCCCGGGAGTTTGATAGCTTTCTCCATTCCTCATGTGGTATTATGCTCGGGGCTTGCATTCTGCACTTACCCAAGAAGTCCCGGTCCCTTTTACTGGGGGAAAAGTACTTAGAAAACAAACTCTGGTACTAGATGTGCCCATTGCTTCTAGGCCATTTCAGTAGAAAGAGCTAAGAGATACGTGTCGAGTTTTTATTTTTCATTATTGATTACTGACCAGATACATCGCAGTTTACATTAACATTTAGAATGCAAACTCAGGACTATAGGGTTTTTCCTTAACAACCTGTTTTGTTTTTTTTAAGCAATTTGTGTAGATAGAGACTTTAAAATCTAAGTACTTGCCCAAAGCAGATATGAAATGCCATGAGTTCCAGTGTACAGAAGGGTAAAATAGCTTGATGATTGAGAACATGTGGATACTGGAACTAGATGTCACAATCTAATCCTGGCCCTGCCCTTCTTGCTGAGTCCTTGCGTAAGTTGTTCCACTCTGTGACTCAGGTTTTGTATCTGCAAAATGGAGCTGATAGAAGTACACATACACTGTAGGAGAGTTACAAAGAGAAGCTGAATTCATGTCTGGAGAGCACTTCGTGCTTATAGGGAATGACCATGCACAAGGGGTTCTGTTTCATACATATATATACTGGTAGAAATTTTTTTTATTTAATTTTATTTATTTATTTGATAGAGCGAGAGGGAGAGATCACAAGTAGGCAGAGAGGCAGGCAGAGAGAGGAGGAAGCAGGCTCACTGCTGAGCAGAGAGCCCGATGCGGGGCTCGATCCTAGGACCCTGAGATCATGACCTGAGCCGAAGGCAGAGGCTTAACCCACTGAGCCACCCAGGCGCCCCTATACTGGTAGAAATTTTATAACAAGCATTAGCATTTTAATAGTAAAGGCAAAGATTATGTAGACAAACATGTTTGTGTGTACATATACAGACAGATGTGTGGAAGGCTGAGTGGCTCAGCGTTCCCACAGATTTGGGAACCATATTTCGTCTGATCGGGGAGCCAGATGAATCCTGTCATTAATGTAGCAGGGAACATGATTTTGACCTGGAAAGCTGTACTGGCATCCCTGAGTAAATAAGTGGTAAGATGGATGGAGGACTGTGATCTCTTGTAATGACTCCTAATCATCCTGCACCATCTGCAAACATTTAGATTCAAAGTAGCCCATCAGAAAAGCATTTGATCAAAGACCCAATCTGCACATTCGAGCCTGATTGCAAGGGTACCTCTGAGTCCATGAGAACAGAACATTTAAGACAGGGTATGCATTACATATGCACACCCACGTGTGCTGACACGCGTATGCGTCACAGTGCCAAGGCTGGGGCAGCCAGCAAGTTGGCCCGTGATGATTTTTTTTTTTTTTCCCAAGGAAATCTTGATACTGTGGTTTGCAGGTTGAGGGCTACAGGGGATTCCAATGTGCACATTGATCTGGGACAGTTTTTGTTTGTGTTTGTTTCTTGGTAACAATTTTACAAAATTTCTAGACAGCTCGCTAAATAACTTTTAGTTATGGAAGAGTATGTTTTGAAACGAGGAATAGGAGATAGTGATAAAGTTGAGATTTGTCCTTTTTTTTTTTTTCCCCTCTCATTGCTTTAAAAATAACAGCAAACTGTAGATTCTTCAGAAACTGATCCAAGGGAGGAATTCCTGTCAAGACCAGGAATACTTGTGTTTTTCCTCAGCAGCTGGTTTATTTTTATCTTAAGGACCTTGTAAATTATGTAACAGATTGCGTTTCCATCTTCGTTAGCTGCTGGTAAGCTTAGAGCCAGATTTGTGTACCCCTATTAGGAGGAATGTAATTTCTCATCTTTGGCCCATGGGAACCTAGTCAGGTTCACTCCTGAGTGACATGACCCAAAGGAGTCTTCATGATTTTGCTGGATTTCTCATACAATGAAATTTTCTAGGCCCATCTCTCAGAAATACACACAAGACCCTACTGCTTGCATTTTTGCACACCAACATTACATCCGTCTTTTCCCCCTTTATTCTGATTTCATCACCTGTTATCTTATAGACCTTTTTTAAAAAAAAGTTTTCTTGTGGAAGAAGGAGAGGAATGAATGATTAGTGAATATCACCAGGCTGGGGGTCTAGTCTGTGAATGGTCCAGGCTGTCTCTTTCCCTAGACCTCTCCCCGCCAACCCTCTCTCTGCAGGACCACTCTACTGCCAGAAGTTGGCCAAAGTCAGGAAGGGGAAGTGAACTGAAATCAAGGAGACGTTGGTGCTTTTAGCTTCTCTGTAAAGATTTGGAAAAAGGAGGGGGAGGTCAAAAGTAAATCCTAAAATGTTCTCCCAACTTATTTTTGGGTTCCACCTGTGGGAACCCAGGTCCCCACTGACATAGGTAATTGTAGTCAGTTGTTCAAACCCGTGTCCGAGAAGGTTGTGCTGCAGAGTCCCTTGTCCTCCAACTGGGAAGGGGATTCTGTGCAGCCTAGGAGTTCATTCAGTGTTTATTCGAAAAACAGAGAACCAGCACTGTGCTGGCAAAAAAGCCTCTGAGTTGAGGGGGAACTGTTCTCATTACTGGGTGATAAAGGGAACCTCAAAGAAGTCCAACTTTAGGTCAGTGGTTCTCAAACTTGAGCAGGCTTCAGAGTTTCCCAGAAGACTGGTGAAAGCACAGATCCCTGGCCCCACCCCAGAGTTCCTGACCCTGCAGGTCTGGGATGGGACCCGAGAGTCTGCATTCCTCCCTAGTTCCCAGGTGGTGCTGGTCTCGCCACCACACTTTGAGAATTACTTGCTAAGATGATCGAGTTATCCCTCAGAGTAAGGTTTCAACCTGTCCTTTCAGACTTTGCTTAGGGTCTAGGAGTTCGTCTGTCTATGGGGATGAACATCATCTAGATGTTCTAGAATATCATCTTAATGATAGGCCAGCGAGTGAGACATTTAAGAAAAAAAAAAAAAAAGACCCAAATCCAGAGTTGATTGGTTGTCTTTACGCACAGAGAGAGAAGGTCTAGCTGATCAGACAGTGCTTGGCTCTTTTATTTGCTCTTGAATATCCAGGTCAGTGCAGGAAGTGTTTCTCACATGGGTGGGATGGCGGGGAAGGTACTGGTCAGAAAGCTCACGTCAGTGTCCTCAGCTCACCCTTCTGTGGGGAACATGATATCCTGTCTGTTTTGGTGAGAGCAGTGTAGACACCTTGCGCTATTCTTTCCACAGGGACCCCAGGACACATCAAGTATCCAGGTTTTGCACTTGGGGACCACTTCCTGATAAATGTTTGTGAAAGTTTTCCAGGAACTGAACAAAAGTGGCACTATCTGGTCTTTTCTTCTGGAACCAGGCCACACCATGTCAACTCCCCAGGGTCCTGTCCCCAAACACATTCTATAAGGGACTCACATAGCCATAGAATTTTCATGTGCTAATTCTCAGAAATGCTTTTCACCTCTTCAGTATTCTCTGTTTCACTCAAGATCTCTGGGAACTCAAAGAAACTATATATCAGTATTTTAAAAAATAATTTTTCTTTCCCAATTACAAAAATAAAACCTGTCTGTAAAAGTCTTGCTTTAAAAAAGCTAAGAATGAATAAAGCTCTCCAGCAATTATCCAGAAGAAACTTTAAAAAGAAAGTTTCATGCTTACCCTTCAGTTTTTTCTAAGCGTTTATAGCTACACATATATAGATAAATTTTACACCAAAGGGGATCAGTCATAACATACCCACTGTTTGCAGCTGCCTCCCCCTTTGTTAATTTCCTTCATGTTAGTGCATACAATTATGTCGAATCCTTTTTGATGGCTGCATGGTTTTCCATTATATGGAAATGTATTATATTGATTATATTGTATTTAGCCAGTCCTATGCTGGATATTTAAGTTGTTTCTAATTTCTCAGTTGTCGATGAAACAATGAATATCTTGTTTCTAAGTCTTAGTGTGTCTGTGCAGTGAGCTCAGAGGCCTAGAGATTCCTGGAAGCAGAGCAGACATGAGAAAGAATGCAGGTCTCCTGCACTATCCAGAAGTGGAGCGTCCCTTTGAAAATTTTCCTAAACCGAAAATGGCAGTAAAGTGAAGCAGCAGTTACATTTAACTTACAGGGAGAAACGTTTGAGCATTCCTGGACCCTCCCCCCCTCCAATTACCTCTTTTAGGCTTCTCTCATACCTTAAGATATATCTGGCTAACGGATGCACAAAATAAATAAAGACAAAGCCCAGATGCTCACGGACACAGTTCAGAGCTCTGGCAGCTGGATGTGGAGATGCTGAGTGGAATTCCTGGGGAAGATGTTTAGTGGGGCCACTCTTGCCCCGTTATTCCGGGCGCGCACTGCCTCCACAATGGCTCATTGCGAAATAGACGCTGAACACGATGTTCGCTTTCTGCCTTTGTTCATAAAAGCAGAAATTCTCTTTGGATTAGTTTCAGTTACCAAAAAACAGGGGCTGAGGTCGGTGTTTCGTAAGAGCACCGTGGTATAACACGTTGAGAAGTGAGGGAGTGTGTATGAGAGCATAGGTAAATGGGGGCAGGTGTGAAATGTTATCATTTCTGTCAATTAAACTGTGTGTTAAAGATAATAGGCCGTGGCCGACTCGGATTCATTACAAAAATACAAGGATAGTTTGATTTAGACAGTCCGTTAAAGTAGCACACCGCGTTAATTGACCAAAGGAAAAAAAAGAACCATTCAGGCATCAATGTCCTTTGATGCAAAAAGTGCTTTTGATAAAAGTAATAATTCCTGATCAAAAATCCTTCGAACAGGAGACCCCTAGGAAGTGGCAGCCAAGTAAGGGAGTGTCTGTCTCTTCCCTGGGTCCACTGGCTTCACGCGCAGGGATGGAGTCAGCAGCATTTTAGTCGAGGGAGGGAACAAGCAAAGGTGCCCCCTAGCATCTGGGGAGCCCTGACTGGGGCAGAAAGGCAGGAGCCTGAAATGGGGTGTGAGGAGTGGACAGGAGGAAGGGACCACTGACCCTGCTTGCAGATGCTAGGACTTGGTTCCAGAAACTAAAAAGCTATTAAAAACAAGACAGTTCAGTCAGGTGGCTACTTGCGTTGTTAAGAATTAATAGTTCGTGAGCTCCTACCTCCTGCCAGGAACTTCGAAGCACTTGAAACCATGTAGCCCCTGGCAACAATGTCCTTTGTTCTCTTTCCAAGTCTAAGAAGTGGGAGCCCTTTTTATGTCCATTTTGCAGGTTAGGAGACTGAGGCCTCGAGAAATTCAGTCACATGGCTGCAGTCCTGTAGGTGGAAAGTGGGGGGGCCGGCACTGCAGCTCCCATTGCCCACAGCACTGTGGTCGTGTGGCCTTGGGCAGGGCAGCCAGCTCTGCGGCCATAGATTCCTCCCCTCTGCGTGAGATGGCCTTGGGCCCCCTTGCACGTGCATGTGCGTGTGCAGGCCAGGGCAAGTGCATGTGCGGAATGTGTGTGCTGTCCACAGCGGGGCATGGACCAGTTGGTGCTTGGTAGGGTGCCTTCCCCTGGCCTCAGCTGTCGGTCCTCCTCATGCTCAGGTGTCAGCTGGAGATTGTGGAAGGAAAACAAGAAGGCTTTCCCCATTTACCTCGTTCTGTCCGTTGAATTTATACATAACAAACTCTCAGGGTGACTCAGCTACCAAGGCTGGATACAAAGGGCCATGTTTAGCCACTGGCTTGAGCACCCTTCCCCAAGGCTTGGAGGTAATAACCAGGGATGTTGTGCTTGACGATCCCCTCGACCCTGGGCGAGATGGACCAGAGGCCCTGGAAGCCGTAAGTGGCCACTATGTCTCCAGAGGCTCTCGGCACAGAACAAACACTTAAACTCTTCTCCTTCTCTGTTGACCTCATGGTAACGAAACCCACGCCGAAGCACACTGAGGCTTGCCTTCTTACCATAAGCTGCTCTCCTCTGGGGCTCCACTGTACTGATGGCGGCTTCTGTCTCCGTCTCCAGGTACGGAGAGAAGGGGAAAGCCATCCGGATCGAGAAGGTCATCTACACTGGGAAGGAGGGGAAGAGCTCGCGAGGCTGTCCCATCGCCAAGTGGGTGAGTGTCAAGCCCCGCCCCCACGCCCCTAGCCAGGGCTGTGCCTAACTTCCCTCCCACAGGCCAGGCCAGGGGTGTGTAGAGCCTATAGATGCTTCCCGTCCAGCAGAGTCAGAGTCGGCAGCTGTGCTCGGTTAAGGTCACTTTCCCCCAGGCTGCGCTCTCTGCTCTTATTTCAACGCCAGCCCCTGGCATCCTGGGCTGGCCTCAGAAATGCTCTAGTCATTACGTTCAGTTCAAACTCTCCCCATGGTTCGGAGACGTGGTTGAAGGGAGGCACAGAGACGGCGCCTCCCTCAAGGCGGGCCCCCCTGTGGACCATGTGACCCCCGGGCCCCACGCGTGGCAGAAGAGCTTGGCCTCCGGGGGTGGGGGGTGGGGGGCGGCGCGTGCATCTGTGTGACTTCTGAGCCACTCTTGCCTTCAAGGCAGCCTAAGTGTCCGCAGGGGGCAATGGTGGTGACTGAGACCCCCGTGCCCACACACAGTTTTCTGACCTCGTCCTTCCAGTCCTGCAGGAGCCCTTTAGCGTCTCTACAGAGTCTGTGCTCCAGAGCAGCCATGGGGTTGTTAGGTAGCCGTGAACTTGGCTCTGTGCCGGGTGCTCGGTGGAGGGATGCGCCCGGAACAAGAGAGCTCTGGGCCTGTGCCCAAGCGGCTTCTGATGTAGAGACACGGGAAATAAAATCAGAGACCCGAAACATCAAGGTCTGACTTTGAGACAGTGCTATGAAGTCCAGAGTGCAGGGACGTGCATGGTGGGGGGAGCGTGAGGCTCAGTTTCTTGGAGGAGGGGGTGTGCATGGGGCCAAGACTGTGGGGCCGTGAGTGCAAGGCCATATAAATGGCCTGAGGGGAGAGCAAAAGCATTTCTGGCAAGGAGAGTCATGGGAGCAAAGGCAAAAGGCTGCATGAACGCACAGCTCCCTTGGAGTGAGGGAAGGCGGTCCATCTGTCCATCTGTGCACATGGTCTGTCCGCCATGCCTTCGTATGTTGGTCTGTTTTTAATGGACATGAAAGGTGTCTGAACCTGAACTACCACATATCTGTTTTTAGCAATTTTCAGCCAATGTTGCTGAATTATATACAATAAAAGAATCTGGGGGTGGGGTTGCCTGGGGGCCTCAGTAGGTGAAGTGTCTGCCTTCGGCTCAGGTCATGATCCCAGGGTCCCTTCTCAGCGGGGAGACTGCTTCTCCCTCTGACCCTCCCCCACTCGTGCACATGTGCGTGCTCGCTCTCTCGTTCTCTCTCTCAGATAAGTAAGAACTTCTAAAAGAAAAAAAAAAAAAAGAACCTGGAACTACATAGAGCTTTCACAAGTATGAAGCAGCACAGTGTCCGGTCCTCCAGAAAGTTGGGCGTTACAGTGGCGGGTAGATGGTGTGTGTCTGTGGCTGATCAGGGGGTGGTGTTATCCCCCTGAGAAGCCATCAGTGACCTGGCATCTGCCCCTTATTCCTGCTCATTCAGGTAGTCCTTGAGGAATTGCAGAGTCTTGGATGGGAAACTGAAGGTCCTCACCCAGGTAGAGACTTTTCCATCTTTGGAACAGTCGGGAAGGAAAGAGCTGGCTCTGTGGGTGGTGGTGGTGAAGAGAATATGCATTTCCAGTTCCCAGTACCCCCGAGGAGCAGCTCCTGTGGGTCTCTGCCAGGCCTGAGGAAGGAGGTGCCTGGGTGAAGAGTGAGCTCGGTCCCTGGGGCAGTGAGCGGGAAGCAGAATGAGAGCGTGGGAGGACCTTGATCCTCACACATTGATCCTGCAGGGTCTATGGACAGATGCCCAGAGCAGAGCACGCAGGACACCTGATGTTTTGTCCAAGGATGAAATAGCTCGGGGGTGTCTCCAAATCCCGGTGGGGGATGCTGGCTTTGAAAGAAAAGGCAAGATAGAAGGGAATGCATGGTGACAGTGGTCCCAGAGATGGGGAAATTCCAGTATCTGGTGAGGGAACATAAAATGAGAGAGGAAAGAATTTTTTTAATAGGAAGAGCAAATAGTGGCAGGTCAAAGATGATGACAGTGGTAAGAAAGGGGTGGTACTGAGTCGTGTGGTGGTCTTGTGTAGCCATCTCCCTCGGTGCGATGGGCTTCTCTGGTTTGCCTACACAGCCACCAAATACCCGACCTGTTTTGGTGGTAGAGCTCGTCTACAGAGTTCTACCTCCCTGGAAGTTGGAGAAGGGACAGGTGCCCCCTCACGGGGAGGGGACTCATCTGTGCCGAGAAGGGCAGATTGTCTTTGGCAGCAGCGTAGCTTCAGGAGCCCAGGCGGTGGTCTATGGCTACATACAGAGCAGTGCCTGGCTGCCCGTGGTGGACAACACCTCCCGTGGTTCTCCCTGCCCACAGCTTCCTCCGGTCTCCCATCTAGAGCCCGGGCTTCCCTTTCCAAACAGCTGCATGTCTTTGTTCACCGCCCAATCCCCCAGCCAGTACGTTCATCTAAAAGTAGTATGCCTGACACATTCGGGACTTGACTGGCCAGGATCTCAGGGACAGAGCTGAGGCTCGTCATGGGTACCCAGTAAATGTGTGTTGGGGGAAGGATCTAAGAAAGCAGTGGGATGGCCCAGGGAGCCCACTGGTAACCGCCAGTTGTAAGGTGACCCATACAGAATATGGAAGTCGCCAAGCGTGGGAGTAGGGGAGTGACCCAGGTCGCATTCCTAGGGCTCAGTATAAACAGAAACACACCGGAAGCAAATGCCACTGACAGCAGAAGTGGGCTTTCGGTAGAAGAACCGCGGAGCTGCTCCATGGGCCAGTCTGTACCAATGACCGGGGACAGAAGGCCGATATTTGAAGGCCCATAGAGGGCACGGTGGAACGGGCCTCCTGGGGAACCCTGGGGGTTGAAACTGAGTACCAGGAGTGGGAGCTGTGGGAAGACAGATTTAGGCTTCTGCTGGGTGCAGTGCTCAGGGAAATCCTGCCCAGAATCTGAGTGGGCTGTCTGTGGTTCTGTGGTGGCTTATGAGCCATTGGTGTTGCCGAGCTCAGGTGTTGGTATCCTCCTGCCCTTCTGTGGGCCTTTCAAGCGTGCGCTTCGTGCATTCAGTCCTGCTGGCTTCCTTCCTAGTGTGCGTAGGGAGCTCCACTCTACTCAGTTTTCTTATGGTTTTTTTGAGTGTAGCCATAGGCCTGTGAGGGTATGGCCACAGAGAGCTGTCTGCTTGTGCTAGTCATGTTTATGTGCTTGCCACTTGGGAAACCAAAAGGATATGGCCTCAATCTCAGCTCAGACAGGTAAGGTGTTTCCCTGTGCGCTCGGAACACACTGTCACACATGGGTGCCATGAGCCAGTGCCCTGCCCTGCGCACTGAGCAAGAGGTGGATGGTGGTGCCTTAGGAACCCTGGTGATAGGACTGCTGTCTTTTTTTTTTTTTTTAATAATATGCAATTTTTAAAAAAGATTTTTATTTATTTGTCAGAGAGAGAGTATGTGCGTGCACACACACACAAGCAGGGAGAATGGCATGCAGAAGGAGAGGCAGGCTGTCCGTTGAGCAGGGAGCCTGGTGCAGGACTTGATCCCAGGACCCCGGGATCATGACCCAAGCCAAGGCAGATCTTACCCGACTGAGCCACCCTGGCGGCCCAGGGACTGCTGTCTTATCAGTCCCTGGGATGTGCGCAGCTGCTCACAACACACCTGGACAGTCACACAGCGAGTTCTCTCACGGCAGACTTAGTGGCATGTTCATAGGTTCCTTTTCCCAGAAAAACAGTTTAAAAAATAATGATGTAACTGATGCTCCTCTGGGAGGGCTCAAAGCAGGAACTCATGGGCCAGGGATGTGTTTTGTTTAGCCTGCAAGGTGCCCCTTAAAATTTAGAAGGAAATTCTGATCCCTGCTGCAGCCGGCATGAGCCTTGAGGCTGTTACATGGAGTGGAATAAGCCAGTCACCAGAGGACAAGTCCCGGACGACTGCACGGGTATGAGTTTCTGCACATAGTCGCCCTCCTTGGAGGGTCAGCAGATCGAGTGCTTGTTGCCACGGGCTGGGGAAGGAGGCGAGGGGAGAGAGTGTTACGAGGCTACAGAGTTTCTGTTTGGGGTGAGGGAGTTCTGGCGACAGGTGCCCATCAACGGCAGCGTACGGAGGCCACCGAACCACACACGGAAGTGGTCAGTTTTATGTCCTGGGTGTCTTACTATGATTTAAAACATTGGAATAAATGCTCACATTGTTATTTATTTGTTTTTTAAGATTTTATTTATTTGACAGAGAGACAGAGATCACAAGGAGGCAGAGAGGCAGGCAGGGAGAGGGAGAAGCAGGCTCCCCGCTGAGCAGAGAGCCTGATGGGGGCTTGACCCGAGCCGAAGGCTTTAACCCACTGAGCCACCCAGGTGCCCCCAAATGCTCACATTTTTAAAGCAGAGATCTCGTATAAAAGTCTGGATCTCTGTTGTCTTATTAAAATTGGAAGAGTTGGGTGTCCTAGGCTGAGATTCTCCTCAGGCACTGGGCAATGGAGAGAAGGCCGGGCTTATTCCTTTTGAAGGGCACGTGCTGCTTTTTCAAGTAGCCGTGGTCTGTCTGCACTGCTCCCCCGTTGTCCGTCTGACTCACTCTCCTTATTTATCCTGTCTGGCTGCCTCTTCAGACGTCTCCTGCTCTGACACACTCATGACCAAGTGTATGTCCAGCACAGGGATCTCCTGACCGCAGACCCATCTCCTGGGGCCTCTGAGGACTGGCTGCTCTCAGCCCGGTCATGTTCCTAGTTAACTCGCCAAGAAGCAGCCCACAACCCACCCACTGTCCCCTGCCACAAAAGTGAAAATGCATTTAAAACTTTCTCCTGTCCGTCAGCCCCTTGAGTCAGAGGGGCCCAAAGTCCCCTTTCTCCTCAGCGTGTCTAAATGCGTTCCTTTTCCCATGTCATCCTCCATGGCCCTGCTTCAGCACATGATCCACTTCTGCTTGTGTTAGGTCTGTTAGTGGCCTCCCTGTACCTCTCCCCCGCCCCTATCACCTGCTCCCCTTCTAGAGCAGGAAGCTCCTCAGGAGAGCCCCCTGTGTTGACTTCTCTATGGAATGCCACCTCGAGTCCTTGTTCCCTCGAAGCCCTTCCCAGTCTACCCTCCTCACAGGCCCTCACTGGCTCCTGGAATTAGCTGGGGTTCTTAGGAGAGGTCAGCCACCTCATGCCTTGGCTCCCGGGCCCTTTGCCATGGGAGCCAGGTGGGAGTTCTGGCAGTTGGGGTGGGGGGGAGCCTGCCTGAGGAGCCATGGGGTGCAGAGCCCTAGGCCCTTGCTCATCATGTTAAGAGCCTTATTGAGACACAGTACACATAACATACAATTTGTCCATTCAGAGTATACAGGTCATTGGTTTGGGGGACATTACTAATCTTTAAAAATTATGTTAAATTATACATAACGTAAAATTGACCCTTTTAACCATTTTTAAGTGTACAGTGGTACCAGCTACATTCACTTTTTTTAAAAAAAGATTTTATTTATTTGACAGAGATCACAAGTAGGCAGAGAGGCTGGCAGAGGTGGGGGGGGGGGAAACAGGCTCCCTGCTGAGCAGAGAGCCTGATGTGGGGCTTGATCCCAGGACCCTGATATCATGACCTGAGCCAAAGGCAGAGGCTTAACCCACTGAGCCAACCAGGCACCCCTACATTCACATTCTCTCTCTCTTTTTTTTTTTTTAGATCTTATTTATTTGACAGACAGAGATTACAAGTAGGCAGAGAAGCAGGCAGAGAGAGGGGGAAGCAGGCTCCCCACCGAGCAGAGAGCCCGATGCGGGGCTCGATCCTAGGACCCTGAGATCTTGACCTGAGCCGAAGGCAGAGGCTTTAACCCACTGAGCCACCCAGGCGCCCCTACATTCACATTCTTATGCAACCATCACCACACTCTGTATTTCCAAAACTTAGAATATAGAAACCCTATACCTGTTAACTAAGTCCCCATTCTCTGCTCCCCGAGCCCCCAACAGCTGCCATTCTACTTGCTGTCCCTGTGAATCCGACTGTTCCAGGTACCCTTTGTAAGTGGAATCCTGTACGGTATTTGTTCTTCAGCATCTGGCTTATTTTACTTAACACAGTGCTCTTCAGGCCCATCCCTGTCACCGTGTGTGTCTGATGTTCTTTCCTTGTTGACGACTGTTTCACGTGCGCAGAGGCCGCATTTTGTTTATCCGTGTCTGTTGATGGACATCTGGGTTTCTTCCGCTATCTGGCTGCTGTGACTGGTGCTGCTCTGAACAGGAGCCTGGAAACGCTTGTCCCAGTCCCCTCTCTCGGTCCTCTTGGGTAAATTCCTAGGAGAGGCCCTGCCTGGTCATGTGGTAATGACATGTTACGCATTTCGAGAAACTGCCCCAAACTTTCCCATAGTGCCAAAGCCCTTGTTTTGTAACTAAAATCATACAGATAGGCAACATTTTCTCTGCAAATATTTTAGGACAACATAAAAAGAAATCTCTGAATATATCTTGGCTCACAATTTTATCTCCATATTTTTAGTTCTAAGCCTATGCAACTCATCAATAACTTATTGTAGAAATTATTTTTAATTTTGCTCTTAAGAAAATGTTTGTGTTTATTATTCCCTAATGGTAGCGGTCTCTCAGCCTGCGTGGTTGCTGTCAACACTGCCCTAAAGACCCACCGCCCTGGTCTGGTGGGCAGAGGTCAGGGGGTATCATGTCCCAGGCAGAGGAGCGAGGGGGCCAGTTTCTGACAGTGAACAGTGAGCACCTGCCCACAATCCCTGCAGGTGATCCGTAGGCACACGCTGGAGGAGAAGTTGCTGTGCCTGGTGCGGCACCGGGCAGGTCACCACTGCCAGAATGCTGTGATTGTCATCCTTATCCTGGCCTGGGAGGGCATCCCCCGCAGCCTCGGAGACACCCTCTACCAGGAGCTCACCGACACCCTCCGGAAGTATGGGAACCCCACCAGCCGGAGATGTGGCCTCAATGATGAGTACGTGGGGAGCAGGGCAGGGAGGTGGTCCCTACATGCAGGGGTAGGGGCGGCTGGGCCAGGTGGCCATTGGCAGGGTGCTGGACAGCAGATGCAGGGGACTCTGTCCGCCCGCCCCGGGCCCTGCCTGCCCTGCAGTCAGGGCTGTGATGAAAGCAGCTCCCACACGATCCCAGCCTGGGTTCTTCTGGTGCCAGTGGCAAAGGGTCTCTTCCCTGGGCTCAGCTTTGCTGCTGAACCTCACACGGACTTTGGGACTCTAATGCTGGAACAACCATGAAAAAGTGTGTGAGCGACCCCCCGCCAAGTGTAAGGCATCAGTAGTCATCACGAAACCTGCCCTCCTAGAGTCTTTTCCCATTTTTAAAATTAAGGTATTTTTGCTTTAAAAAAGTAGAGTAAAAATTCATCCTTTTAGTATACAGTTTGAAGAGGTTTTTTTTTTTTTTAAGTTTTTATTTAAATTGCAGTTAATTAACCGACAATGTAATAGGGACTAATGTTTACAGCACCGTAGCCAACAGTGCCACCATCCAGATAATGGAACAGTTCTGTCATTGCCCCCAATTCCCCTGTGCCCCTTTACAAGAAAGTCCTTTCTTCTGCCCTTGGCAACCAATGGCCTCTCGTGCTTCTTGTCCCCATAGGTTTGCCTTTGCAAGAATGTTCTATAAATGGAACCAGACCGAGCATAGCCTTTTGGGTGTGGCTTCTTGCCCCGAGCTTCATCTGTGCTCGTGTCAGCTCGTTGCCTTTTACTGCAGAGTAGTATGCCACTGCTGGCGATGGCACCTTCATTTATCTGTTCCCCAGTTGAGGGGCATCTGGGTTGTTTCCAAATTAGTTGTTGAGTGACCATGTCAGTGTTAATTTGTTTAAAGGCCTGTCAGCACCCAGGCCTGAAGGACGTGGGAGTGTTCAAACCCCATAGTTGTGTTACGACTCTGTTTGTGTTGAACGCGTCGAAAGCTGTCATGATATTAGAGTTAAGGCAAAGGATAAACCTTATTGGGGTTTTGACTGGATTCTTCCTACTTACCTCAAACAATCCACGAGCTTCTCCCAACAGCAGGAGGTTCAGGGGTAGGAGAAGAACGGGCTGCTCAGAGCGGACCGTCGACCCCAGGACACTTGGGAGAGGAGTCAGGTGGGGAAGGATGTGGTCCCAGTCACTGGGAGGCCACGAATGCTAGACCTCCCCCTGGGCAGGGAGGAAGGTTTCCGAACAAAGCCTGTGTCCGGGTGCCTAACGTGGGACGTCTCTTGCAGCCGGACCTGCGCTTGCCAAGGCAAAGACCCCAGCACCTGTGGCGCCTCCTTCTCCTTCGGCTGTTCCTGGAGCATGTACTTCAACGGCTGCAAATATGCTCGCAGCAAGACGCCGCGCAAGTTCCGCCTCGCAGGGGACAACCCCAAGGAGGTGAGGGAGGGGACCCTCCTGCCAGCCCCCCTCTACCTGCTGGCCTTCATGCCCTGGGGGGAAGGTGGGTCAGCAGGTGGGACTCAGACAGGGGCAGAATGCAACTTGCTTTGTTTTTTTGAACTGACCTTATCTTGCCCTGAGGTAAGGGATGTCGGGTGTGGTGTGAGGGCAGGGGGAGTGAGAGATTAGACTTAACCGACAACTGGGTACCCCAGACTCTTCCAGCTTTAAAACCATCTCTTTATGGCAGATGTTCAAATTCTACATCTGAATGGGACCCGCTTCCTGGGTCATTTCTTCTCTTCGTTCTTGCCAAGATGTCTTTCAGAGGGTAGGATGATTAGCAGGAAGGGAAGCCTCAAGGCCATGGGCCATTTTCTGGGGCCAGTGTTGGATTTCCCAGAGTGACCTTCATCCTGCTTGGCAGCCAGGGACCTCTCTGCGGTTGTTCACCTGTCTGGGCCTTTGCTGTCTCTTCCTGAGAGCCTGGCCTGGCCCTTAGGCACTGGCCTGGTGTCCACACGGTAGCTGGTGTCCACACAGTCCACCTGGTGTCCTCTCGGTAGCTGCCTTGTCAGGTCAGGCTGCCCTCTGCCCTACCCCTTCCCCTCTGTTGCCCTGCTTGTGAAGGCCATTCCAGGAGGTGGGCTCCCCTGAGTTCCAAGTGCAGAGAAGATGCAGACCTGTCTGGGCTCCCTGTCCTTTCCCTTTCAGCCTCCCCGCTCTCTCCTGCCTGAACACCTGTGAGGTAGGGTACTGGACCCTTCAGTGGGGGTCAAGGCAACATCTTGATCCCTGGATCTAACTTCCATATATCCCTAAGCTCCTTGTACCAGAGGGTTTCCCCCCTTTCCCATGGGGATTCCCCTTGGGTGTGTGTATTGTTTTTTTAGGATTTTATTTGTCAGGGAGAGAGCAAGCACAAGCAGGGAGAGAGGCAGGCAGAAGGAAAAGCAGGCTTCCTGTTGAGCAAGGAACCTAATGTGGGACTTGACCCCAGAACCCTGGGATCATGACCTGAGCCGCAGGCAGACGCGTAACCGACTGAGCCACCCAGGCTCCCCAGGCGTGTGTTTTTCTACTATACGTGTAATAAACTTCTATGCTCAGAGTTCTCAGCCCTGCTTTTCAGAAACAAAAGGAAGCATTTTCAAAGCGGAACTTTTTTCCCTCAAAGCCTGGCTTTTTTTTTTTTTTAAAGATTTCATTTATTCATTTGAGAGAGAGAGAGTGGGAGTGTAAGAAAGAACGAGAACAGGGGAGGAATAGAGGGAGAAGCAGACTCCCCACTGAGCTCGGAGCCGGATGCCACCAGGCTCAATCCTACAACCCCCGGATCATGACCCAAGAGTTGGACGCCCATCCGACTGAGCCACCCTGGCACCCCCGAAGCCCGGCTTTTAGACTGTTGCACAAGCTCGTCTACCAGTCTGGTATGACACTAGACTTTTATTTCTGGCGGCATCCGCCCTCCCCTGGAAGCAGTGAATGCAGTTGTTTCAATGAAGAGAGGAGCCTGGGGGGCCATGGGAAGTAAGAATTACCAGGAGAGGAAATGCACTGCCTTCATTTTTCTCTCTCACTCGCCCTGTTCTGTCAGCTAGCATTCCCCTGGGCTTCCGTCCTGCTGTGCTCAGGCTGGCGCCTCCCAGGTGTGCGTCTCAGCCAGGCTCATGGCACCCCAGGGTCTGGGCGCTACTGCTCCTCACTTCGTAGAGGAAGCACATGGCTTGCCCAAGGCCCTGTGGCAGTAATGGTGAAGTTGGGCATGGATTTTCCCGGAGCTCCTGAGCCTCACCCCTGCACTGTGCTGGCCCTGGGCCCACTGTGCGGGTGGCAGTGTCTGGACCGCAGCCAGAGGCTGGCGGTGGCTGGCTGCTCGGGCCACCCGGCTGGACAGACGTTGAGCCATGGGTCCCGCGCTCACATTTCCACTTCTCTAAACTTGGTTCTTTCTCTCTTCCATCGTCTTCCTCTGCATGCCTGTGCTCAAGGCCTTCTAGGAGGCCCCTGGCCCCACCCCCGCTGGCTCTGCTTGGCCCCCTTGGAGGGCCAGGCGGGGGACACCTGAAGCCTTGACCAAATGCAGCGGGGATGCTGCTGCCCTGTGTGGGGCGGCACTGGTCTGTGGAATGCCCGTGAGGAGGGAAACGTTCTCTGTAAAAACAGCTCGGGAGCTGCGTGGAACCGCTGAGCATTTGGAAATGTGACTAGTAAAACAGGGGGACTGGATTCTTCACTTTAATTAAAATTCACATTTATTTCGGTAGCCGCGCCTGGCTGGCGACAAAGGCACATGATGGCACAGGTCTGCAGGGCAGGGCTCTGAAGGGTGTGCCGCGGGCTCTAGGCCTGGCTGGCTGGGGGGCTCCCCCGCACAGACCTTGAGCACCCCTCTCGCCTTCACCTCCCTGCCTGTAACACCAGAAGAGAAAGCCACGTTTGTTGCTCCTGCTTTTACGTGCCTGCCCCACCACACCTCTGGCCCGGGATGCTCAGAACTCAAAACCAATAGCCTGTTTCATGGGTTGTGAGCTGCCCTGAGCAAGAGCCTGGAAGAGCAGTAGCTGGGCAGTCTGGAGGCTGGACCTTCAGGCCGAGACTTTTCCTGAGCTTCCATGTCTCCAGCTTTAAAACGGACATGGCACTGTGCCCCTTCCTGAGGGAACTCTGTCAAGACCCCTGATGGCACCTAACTTCTACCTTCCCAGCAGCCTAGTGGTGGTCCAGAATGGAGGTCAATTTCCAGCGTACAGAGCTTGTCAGGTGGGGCTGCTGTGGGTGTGTGTGACGGCTCTTCTTCCCACAGGAGGAAGTACTCCGGAAGAGCTTCCAGGACCTGGCCACTGAAGTCGCTCCCCTGTACAAGAGGCTGGCCCCCCAGGCCTATCAGAACCAGGTATGGGGTCCTGGGCCTTTCTCTGCCCACGTGTCATCCACATCTCTGTCCTCCTCCCATGGTGTGTTCCATATGGAAAAGCTCGGCTAGAGAGGACAGCGACCGTGGAGGTCTTGAATAAGATCCTTTCTTTACATGAGCTAACGGCATCCCAGACCATCTCTCCTCTATCCCTTGCTTTCATGCCTCTTCGTCTATTCATCTCTCACCTCCTCTGGTCTAGCTTCTCCCAGGGAGGCTCAAGTTTCTCTGTCCTCTTGCCCCTGCATCTCCCAGATGATGGGAGTGGGACTTGAGGTAACTCAGAAGGAAGTCATTTCTACAGGGTCTTCAGCCAGAAAGCCTACCTTCTGCAGCCCATGCGCAAGGCAGCTGCGGTGCTTAACCTCCCTCCCTCCAAGACCTAGCCTCCCTGGTGCAGAATCCAGGCCACTGACCTCAGGTCACACAAGCAGTTCTCCTTGGCTGTCCACATAGGTGACCAATGAGGAAATAGCGATTGACTGCCGTCTGGGGCTGAAGGAAGGGCGGCCCTTCTCGGGGGTCACAGCCTGCATGGACTTCTGTGCCCACGCCCACAAGGACCAGCATAACCTCTACAATGGGTGCACTGTGGTAAGGAACCCTGGGCCCCCTGCGGGATGATTCTGGGAGGGGGACTGGTTTGTGCAGACCTGTGAGCTCAGAGTAGGGAGGAACCTGGAGACAAGAGTCTCAGATCTGCAGGAGGTGTGCCCTGCCAGATTGCTCGTGCTCACTTCTCTGAGAAACGCATGGACCAGAATGCTTGGACCAGGCCGGCCTTGGCTCTGTGTCTCATGTGGGTGCTGCAGGGTGCAGGCTCTTGGACACCTGTAGGCCTTCCGTTATCTACAGATGGCTCCAGGTCTCCCTGAACACTTGGATTTAAGTCCAAACAATCTCTTGATGTACCCATTGAGCAAATGTTTATTGAGCTCCAGGTGCTGGTCTAGATGTTGGGGAATAAAATGGACTAAGCTCTGCCCAAGTATGTGATACAGTTCATGTCTGGTACTGATGAAGATGGAGTAGAGGAAGGGGAAAGAGCAGATGCTGTTTGAAATGCTGTGGGCAGAGAGGACTTTCTGAGAAGGGGCGGCTGAGCTGAGACGTGAATGAAGAGGGAGAGTGAGGGAATGAGTGTCTGGGGGTGGAGTGCTCCAGGCAGGAGGACCAGCACAGGCAAAGGCTCGGAGGCAGGATGGGATCAAGACACAGGGAGCCCGGAAGGCAGGCAGAGCTGCGGGCTATGCTCAAAGTGTGATGGGAAGCCCTGGAGGGCTCATCAGCCAAGAACGGTAGGATCTCATTTATGAAGTTAGAAGCTTCCTCCTGCAACTGGCAAATATAAGTATGTGGAGGTGGTGGATGGGGGGAGCCGGAGGAGGAGGCCAGTTAGAAGGCTGGGACAATGTCTAGGCTAGAGGTGACAGGGCTGGGGCAGGAGGTAGGGTGGGGAGGAGGGTAATGGGATGATTCTGGGTGATTTTGAAGGTCCAGTCAAGAGAGTGTTGCTGATGGACAGATGCAGGATAGGAGAGGGAAGGACAAGAGAACTACCCAAGACTTTTTGCTTGAGCACCAGGACATGTGTTGGGGTGACACACTGAGCTATAGACTAGCAGGAGAAGCCAGTTTGGAGGGAAACTCTCCTGAGAGGCCTGCTGTCTGCCCACATGGACGTGCTGAATATGCAGGGGAGGGGGCGTCTGGAGAGCACGTAGCTCACACTTACAGCCATAAGACCAGGTGCGGTCACCAGGGGAATGAGTACAGTTGGAGAAGAGGGGAGGTTTGGGCTTGAGTGGACAATTGGGCTTGAGTGGGAATGATTACAGTTAGAGAAGAGGGGAGGTTTGGGCTTGAGTGGACAATTTGGGCTTGAGTGGGATGATGCCAGCTTTCTGCTTTGCTTTTTACTGGGTCCTGGCAGGCAGGGCTCCCCGGGGAACTGTAGCAGAGGCAGAGGCCCTGGCAGGTCATCTGAAGGGGGGCTCCCAGAGTTTGGGTGTGACTTGGGTCTGACACCAGGATTGATGGCACAGCCCTGAGATCGTATTTCTTTGCCTTGTCCTTCCTTATGTCCAAGGTTCAAAGCAAGGTGGGGCAGGCATCTGTCTATACTGTACAGGGAGGGTTTCCACCTGAGACAGAGAGAAAGGGAGGGACCTGCAGGATTTAGGAGAGGGTCAGGGGAGGAGGAGGAGGAGACACTGGGAGATTGGAGCACGGTGAAGTTATTTCAATCACAGAGCTTGTAGAGTTTGGAGTAAAAAAAAAAAAAAAGCAAACTTTTTTTCAAAAAGAGCAGTATTTTTTCTGATTAAAAAACTATTCATTGTTTAAGAAGGTATAAAGTGAAAATTGCCTGAAATCTCATGGACATGACCAATGTGAGCATTCGGGTGACCATCCTTTCAGGCACCTGAACGTGTGTGCGCGTGCATGCGGACAGCTCTACACGTTTTATACAGACGTGATCACATGATACGTATGTGCTGCTCCATGACCTGCTCTTCTCAACTCAGGAGTACATGATGGACAACTTCTGTGTCACTGGGTGTAGATCTGCTTCAGCCTGTGCTCGGGCTGGATGGATGGCTTTGCCATCGTTTATTTGACCGTGCACCTCTGGATGGACAGTGAGTGCTTCCACATGCCCCCTCCAGAAAGCAGAGGGGGGCTCTAGGCTTACCGAATCTTGGTGCAGTGCTGGGATAACCTCGAGGTCCTGGGGCCAGGACATTTCTAGGCTGAGAGGGGTACTTACTGGCAACACAGACCTTTTTCAGCTTCTTTTTTTTTTTTTTTTTTTAAGATTTTATTTATTTATTTATTTGACAGATAGAGATCACAAGTAGGCAGAGAGGCAGGCAGAGAGAGAGGAGGAAGCAGGCTCCCTGCCAAGCAGAGAGCCCGATGTGGGGCTCGATCCCAGGACCCCGGGACCATGACCTGAGCCGAAGGCAGAGGCTTTAACCCACTGAGCCACCCAGACGCCCCCCTTTCTCAGTTTCTTGAGTTTTTGCCTGCCTGAGTGGCAAATGTATCTCATGGTACTTTGTGTTTGTTTTAGGACTAGAAAGGTTGAGCATCTTCTAGATTTCTCAACCATTTAAATTTTATCTTTGTGACTATCCTTTATGTCCTTTAAAAAAAAAAAAAAAAAAAGGATAGCCTTAGCTGTTGACGTGGATAAGGTGTGTATGTTAGGGAGAGAAATACTGCTCCTGTCATCACTTCTCCTTTGCCTTTACTTTTGCTCTTTTATTAAACTGGGTTTCAGGGAATGATTGGAAGCAGGGTGGTGGTCAGTCCAACCCAGAAGGTACGCGGGGGTCTGGTCAGAGCAGATTAAGTCACATGGGCCCCATGTATGCGGGGAAGAAACCTACATGGTAGAGCATGACAGCAGAGGAGAAGTTGTAGATGGGAGGAAGAACTACAGCTAATTTCGCAAAAATGCACTGTTTCTGTTCAGTAATAAAACCCTATGAGCAAAATTGATAGGCCAATCCAAACTGGAAAACAGTATAACAGTGACAAAGAGCAGGATAATCTTCATATGCAAAGATTACATAAATGATTAAAATGAATAGTCTAATATAAAAATGGGCAAAAGGCATAAAACTCATGAGAAAAAGAAGACAGTGGTATTAAAATACACCCAAGGTTTGTTTGACTCGAGTATGACCTGAAGACACAGATGTGAGCATCAGGAGGGCAGAAGTTCATCCTCAGCATTCAGAAGTACCTGCTGGGCTCTGGATTGGTTGGTTTGTGTATCAGCGTGCACCCAAAGGAGGTGATTTGCTATCTCTAGGCATTAGCTAGTCTTGGGGGAAGGAAAGCCCTTCCAGGATCAAGGCCCCAAATGGCAAAACATCAAGAACCCAGAAAATAAAATATAGTCAACACAACAGTAAAGTAAACTTGAGAGAGAAAAAAAAATCAAACCTTGTTAGTAATCAGAGAAATGCAGACCAGCAATGAGACACATTTCCATAATGAACAAAATGTTTTTCAGAAGTGAATGGCAAAATTATAAGCAAAAGTGTAGGAAGACGGAAACTCCCCTTCTTCCAGTATGAGGGGAGCACTGAGGAGACTCATTGCATAGGGCAGTTTGGCAACATGTGGCCCTTGACTTCACAGAGTTTATTCCAAGGAATTATGTATTTTAGGAGATTTAGCTAAAAGTGTAAAAGTATTGTTTATGGTAGGGAAAAGATGGAAACAAGTTTTAATAGTGATGAAGGTTCATATGAACACATTGATAACAGAATAATATGATGCAAGTTCTGAAATCACATTGGGGGAGAATAACGCATAAGGAAATCTTCATACTGGGTTTAAGAAGTTACTATAAGGTTGTATGCATAATGCGATTCAATTTCATTACCAAAGAGTGAGTGTGGATTTGTGTGTATGCAAATATGATCAACATGTTTATAGTGATTATTTCTGGATGGTGGGATTATGGAGATAATTATTTCCTTTTTGCTGGCCTAAATTTTCTACAAGCAGTACAGGTAGTTTTTATTACAAAGTATTTTAAAGAGCCAAAGGACGCTGCGTGTTCGGGGCACAGAGGAGAACGGGGTGAGGTCTGAGGCTCAGCGAGGTGACGAGGCGTCGGGACAAGTGTCTCACTGGAGGCAGAGCTCGGCTGCCCGTCCTGACTGGCCCTTTCCCAGCTGCGGGACCTTGGCCCAGTCGTCTCCTCCCCTCTCCCTCGCCCGAGGGTCACAGGAGACAAAGTGATTGGGTGCCCTTTGAAAGCTGTAGGGCAGATTCTAATGCTGGTGATACTGTTAATCTGAGAACCAGCAGAACGTGCTTTTAGACACTCTTTCTAGAGTGGATGGCCGGTGTCGGGACGGTGCGGGGAAGGGGGAGGTCTTGCATGCCAACGCTCAGCCCCTTCCTCCCTGCATGCGCTCGGCACCCCCAACCCCACACACCCTCACTTCCTCTCTCTGCTTGGCCAGGTCTGCACTCTGACCAAGGAAGACAATCGCTGCGTGGGCAAGATCCCCGAGGATGAGCAGCTGCACGTGCTCCCACTGTACAAGATGGCCAACACGGACGAGTTCGGCAGTGAGGAGAACCAGAACGCCAAGGTGGGCAGCGGGGCCATCCAGGTGCTCACCGCCTTCCCCCGCGAGGTCCGGCGCCTGCCTGAGCCTGCCAAGTCGTGCCGCCAGCGGCAGCTGGAAGCCAGGAAGGCGGCGGCCGAGAAGAAGAAAATGCAGAAGGAGAAGCTGAGTACTCCCGAGAAGATCAAACAGGAGGCCCTCGAGCTGGCCGGTGTCACCACTGACCCAGGTGTGTGGGGAGAGGGTGCCCGCCAGAGGTGGCACCGTTGGGGTGGGGGTAGATGGATGGGGGGTGGCCCTGGACAGCTCCCTCCCTGCCCCTCTTCCTGCCTGGCGAGGGAACTCCAAACCAGAGTCCCAGGGCCTCTCTCGGCCGTCTGGACCCCGCGGTGTCTTAACTTTCAGTCAGCGCAGTATCCGTGGCAGCCCCAGGACACCGGAGTGGGGCAGGGGTTCCCATCTTCCAGAGGAGCTGGGTTTCTCCAGCTTGCCGTAGTGTCTGCAGAGTGTGCCGGGGCCCCAGGGGCATGGTCCGCAGTGGGGTGTGGGGCCACCCTCACGTCCGCGGATCCTGGTCCTGCCAGAGGCCAGCACGGGGGTGGCTGGAGCTTCTGTGCAGACCAGCAGGGCTCACCAGGGAAGCAGGGAGGAGGAGTGCTGCAGGGCGCCTGTGGGCTCTGGCAGCCGGTTTCCCTGGGGCTCTCGTGGGGCTGGGAACCCCTCAGGGGAAGAGGGAGCTTCCATCCCCAGTCCTCAGGCCGCGGGCCCATTGTGGGCTGTGGTTCTCTCTGCTCCTTCTTTGTCTTGCCTCCTGTCTTCCCCAGGCCTGGGCCTGAAGGGCGGACTTCCCCAGCAAGGCCTGAAGCCCTCCCTCAAAGTGGAGCCCCAGACCCACTTCAGCTCCTTCAAGTACAGCAGCAATGCGGTGGTGGAGAGCTACTCGGTGCTGGGCAGCTGCCGGCCCTCCGACCCTTACAGCGTGAACAGCGTCTACTCCTACCACTCCTACTATGCACAGCCTGGCCTGACCTCCGTCAATGGCTTTCACTCCAAGTACGCTCTTCCGTCGTTCAGCTACTATGGCTTCCCATCCAGCAACCCCGTCTTCCCCTCACAGTTCCTGGGTCCTGGCACCTGGGGACACGGTGGCAGCAGCAGCAGCTTTGAGAAGAAGCCAGACCTCCACGCTCTGCACAACAGCCTGAGCCCGGCCTACGGTGGTGCTGAGTTTGCCGAGCTGCCTGGCCAGGCTGTTCCCACGGACGCCCACCACCCCACTCCTCACCACCAGCAGCCTGCTTACCCAGGCCCCAAGGAGTATCTGCTTCCCAAGGCTCCCCAGATCCACCCAGCATCCAGGGACCCCTCTCCCTTTGCACAGAGCTCCAACTGCTACAGCAGATCCATCAAGCAAGAGCCAGTGGACCCCCTGGTCCAGGCTGAGTCTATCCCCAGAGACCCTAGTAAGATGGGCAAAACACCTTTGCCCGAGGCTTCTCAGAATGGGGGGCCCAATCACCTCTGGGGACAGTACTCAGGAGGCCCAAGCATGTCCCCCAAGAGGACTAACAGTGTGGGCGGCAGTTGGGGTGTGTTCCATCCTGGGGAGAGCCCTGCCATCATCCCCGACAAGCTCAGTTCTTATGGGACCGGCTGCCTGACCCCTTCTCACTTCCCGGATGGCCAGTGGGGGCTGTTCCCTGGGGAGGGGCAGCAGCCAGCACCCCAACCCGGAGGACGGCTTCGAGGCAAACCGTGGAGCCCCTGCAAGTTTGGGAACAACACCTCGGCCTTGGCCGGTCCCAGCCTGACTGAGAAGCCTTGGGGCGTTGGGGCCGGGGATTTCAACTCTGCCCTGAAAAGTGGTCCTGGGTTCCAAGACAAGTTGTGGAGCCCCCTGAAAGGAGAGGAGGGAAGGATTCCAACCCCGGGGGCAAGCCAGCTAGACAAAGCCTGGCCGTCCTTCGGCGTGCCCCTGGGCTCCAGTGAGAAACTGTTCGGGGCCCTGAAGTCAGAGGAAAAGCTGTGGGATCCCTTCAGCCTGGAGGAGGGGACAGCCGAGGACCCCCCCAACAAGGCGGTGGTGAAGGAGGAGAAGAGTGGGGGCGCGGAGGAGGAAGAAGAGCTCTGGTCCGACAGTGAACACAATTTCCTAGACGAGAACATCGGCGGTGTGGCCGTGGCCCCCGCTCACGGCTCGATTCTCATCGAGTGTGCCCGGCGGGAGCTGCACGCCACCACGCCCCTCAAGAAACCCAACCGCTGCCACCCCACCCGCATCTCGCTGGTCTTCTACCAGCACAAGAACCTCAACCAGCCCAACCACGGGCTGGCCCTCTGGGAGGCCAAGATGAAGCAGCTGGCGGAGAGGGCCCGGGCGCGACAGGAGGAGGCCGCCCGGCTGGGTCTGGGCCAGCAGGAGGCCAAGCTCTACGGAAAGAAGCGCAAATGGGGGGGCGCCATGGTGGCCGAGCCCCAGCATAAGGAGAAAAAGGGGCTTGTCCCCACACGGCAGGCGCTGGCCGTGCCCACAGACTCTGCAGTCACCGTGTCCTCCTACGCCTACACGAAGGTCACTGGCCCCTACAGCCGCTGGATCTAGGTGCCCAGTGCCAGGGAGCCAGTGTACCTCAGCGTCGGGCCCGGCCCGAGCTGCCTCTGTGGTGCTTTTGCCCTCACACCTGGGGGCGGGTTGGGGGTGCAGAAGTCTTTTTATCTATATATACATATATAGATACGCATATATATGTATTTATGGTCCAAACCTCAGAACTGACCCGCCCCTCCCTTCCCCAACTTCCCCAGCACTTTGAAGAAGAAACTACGGCTGTCGGGTGATTTTTTTCGTGATCTTACTATTTATATCTCCATGTTGGTTTTTTTCTCCCCCCCCCCCCGTTGAGGGGGGGCTTTTATTTCCTCTTGTTTTTAAAACTCTATCCTTGTATATCACAATAATGGAAAGAAAGTTTATAGTGTCCTTTCACAAAGGAGTAGTTTTAAATTCCATTTAAAATGTGTATTTATTGGATTTTTTAAAAAGCGACAATAGTAATGGTAAAGGAGCGGCGGGAAAGGCCAAGAGCGCACATTCCTGCCCAGTCTTGCTGGGCCCTGCGAGCCTCTCCCTCTTGGGAGCTGGCAAGGTTCTCTCAGCCATCTGCCCCTCACGAGCCAAGTGCAGACTGTAGCCGCCCGGTCCATCCCTCCTGACCGCTACGCCTTCCCTTCAGGGGAGGGAGCCCTCAGGACAGCTTCCGTCCTCTCCAGCAGGATGGGAGAACCTGTAAAGAAATATCTGGGGTCCCTTTTCCAGTCACCGGCTTGGAGTCGGGGACCAGGAGGCAGGTGCACCCCCAGGCCAGGCACCGGAGATGCCGGCGTCGATTTCCCCCGGAAACCAGGTTGGAAGTAGACAGCTTTGAGCTTGCTAGTCTCCACACTGAATCCTCTGTCCATTGTCGATCAAGTCCCATGATGTCACCGTTCCCCAGGCAGCACCTCCTTGCAGGAGCTGGAGTTGAGAGGCTCTTTGGAGCCTTTTCCCCCGGGTTGACAAGCCAATGAATGCTGGGCTGAAGGAATTTGTCGTAGTGGCAGGTTTTTTTTTTGTTTAAAAAAAAAAAAATGCCCCAAAGCCTATGCTGATACTGAAAAAGGGCTACTGTATCTCTAAACGCAAGAAGCTGAACCCAAGCTGTGAAAAGCCGGCGTCGTCCCACGGCGCGGCGCTGTGCAGAGCCTGGTGCTGTAGGACCGAGCTGGGACTCCGGGGCGGGTGCCGTCCTGCGGGAGCCTGGCCCCGCTGCGTGACAGCAGTTAGCGCATCTCTCTGTTCCTGGATCTCCACATCAGACAATGGTGCAGGCCTCCCCACCCGGGCCCACCCTCTCCATGCTCTCCTGGGCGGGGTTGGGCTTACCCTCAGCAATTTTAAAATGCAGGAGTCCAACGTTTTCAGCAGGTAGCTATGATTTTCCTCCCTAATTGGTGCCATTTCTCGATTTGATCATCTTCTCCTTTCCTTCCTTCCCCACCCCCCTCCTCAACGGGCCCCTTCTCAAATTCTGGTGCATTCGTTTGGTTCTTTGAAATGAGAATGTGGTGCTTCATTTTTGCAACTTTGTCAGAGAGGTTGGGCGTGGCTGGTGGAAGCAACTTCCGTGGACAGCAAGTCAGACTCCCTGGCATGTGTGTTTTTCCTGTGGTGTGAGCGACGTTTCCATCAGGCTGCCCGTGTGGATGTGCGTGGTGAGTGGAAGGCTTCAGCAGGACACACGGAGGGGACCGTGGCCACACGGTGAATGACAACCAAGCCCTGAGATACAGGTCAGATATTTATTGAGCAGTTTTATTCAGACGTGGGTCTTTGTAAAACGAGTTTAACAATCAGATGACGATGCTGAAGGCAAGTTCCTGAGCTTCCAGGTGCCTTGTGTAAGAGCTGAGAACCGACCCGCTGGGTGTTTGCTGTAACTGGTCAGACGCACGGGCAGGGAGTCGCTGTCAGATGTCCTGAGCATTTATGTGGTCTGGTTTTAACTGTACATAGTGAAAGATTTTTTTAAGCACTTTTGCCTAGATTTAAACAGCAACTTGAAAAAAAAAAAAAGTATGTTTTAACATGTAATTGTGGGAGAAATTGTAAATAGTAGCTGAATATTTAATGTGCTTTGTCTATCCTTCACTTTTACCATATTCTGTAAAGTTGCATTTATTTTACAGGACAAAAATGAAATATTATTGCTTTTGAAATAAATACCCAAGAGCTTATCAGGATTTAGAATTATTCAGAACTCAGATTTATAGGAAAATCTCTGACCTTCAGTTTGACAAGCTAAAGGAAGCAGAGTCTTTAATAAGCATGCTAATTTTCTAGTTTTGAGGAAAAGTTGGGTCCTTTAAATGCTATTTTGCTTATCGCATCAGTACTTTTATGCAGGTCTCATTTGACTCCGTGCTTAGGTAGATGCGGGGGTGCCTTGAAAACTTCATTTTAAATGATCTTAAGCAAGAAATACAATATTTTACGAACCATTTGGAGAATGTGACCGTCTGTATGACCCGGGAAAACCCCAGGTTGGCTGTTGGTTTGGAAGGTCCCGAGTGTAACCCAGGTGATTCGGATACTTGGCATGTGTGAATCTTCCTGATGTCTGTTAAATATTCTCTTCCCCTTGTCACCCTTTGGTAGCAAAGCCATTAGATGAAAGGAGAAACCGATACAGGCTCAAAGCATGTGATGTCTGTCCCCGCAGCCCCAACAGCCTTTGGTCCGTAACTTTCTAGACTAGCACCAAGGCTGCTGAGAGCTGAGTCAAGAGGCGGTCTCCATTGGATGTTCCCGTTCCCCTGACAATGGTGTTTCACAGATTAGGTGGTGCTGTTGCCATGCTCGAGTCCATGCTGATTTTTACACACTACATGTATAACCTACCTCAAATCTCAGTCATTAAAATTAGCATGCTTTAGACGTATATTTAAAAAGTAACTATGCACAGCTCCTTATTCCCCCCCCTTGCTGCTGAAGGTTTCTTAAAGAGAAAAATCAAATTTTTATTTTTTACTGGCACTATCATTTTTTAAGTCCTAAAGATGATTAACAGACATTTTTATCATGAGAAGAAAAATAAAGCCATTGCAACTAAAGAACCTAACAGCATGACCAAGTTGTAGAGTAATATTATAGCAATGAGAAGTGATGGAGTCCTAGAGTCCTCTCCCCAGTGTGCCCTGTCCACAGACGCCAGCCACATGCAGTGCGGATATCTGGGTCCCCCTGTGTTTGGTTTCCCCTGCCTTCTGCATGCAAGGGAAGTGCTTGCAAAGTTCTGTGCTAAGAGATTTTTAAAATAATAAATCGCTTTGCGGCAGGTTCTCACAAAATAACTGGTGCTAGCTCAAGAACCCATTATCAGAAATCTAGACTAAAGTTGTTGCGTGGATTTTGAGGTTTCATTGTTTCTTTTGTCGTCGTTTGGGTTTTTGTTTTGTTTTGTTGGTTTTGGGGAGTTTTGTTTTGGAGGTTTTTTTGTTTTTGTTTTTTTTTGCTAGGGCCTAAGTTTCCCACACGCTGGCTTTGTGGGTACTGCTTGCCCTCTCGCCAGGGTGACCGCGGTGTGTATGGAAAGAGATCATACCCTGCCCCTCTTGGTCCTTCCACCGGCCTCTTGTGGAAACGGTAGTTTATAGAGCAAGGGGTTTTTTAAGTGCTAAAGCCAAGAAAGGAGCAGAGCTCAAGGGCTTTGTACCAAACAGCCCTAGATGTGTGAAGACGGTTGATGAGTAGATGGTAACCTGATTTCACGGAGAGAAATCCAGCTAGACTTTGTGAAGTTGAACCACCGCCAGATCTCAAAACCAAGGCGATGCTGGCGGAAAATTTAATATCCCTGACGTGCCTCAACCAATCTCTTTCCTTTTGTTACGGAAGTGTGTTTTATGGACTAGGAAGCATTTTTATGAATTGAAATAGTCTAAATAAAATGGTGCTATGGTGTTTTAATGTGACTGTCCCTGATCCTGTCCTGCTGAGGTGCTATCAAGGTTCTGAAACCACAACCAACCAAAAACAAGGTGGGCTCCAGTCTCTCTTGGCTTCCCCCCCCCCCTTTTGGTGCTGTCTCCTAGACCTCTGTTTACCGTGCTAAAACCTGCTCTGAGCAGTTTTTGTTTTGTTTTATTCTTCTTCCCTTGGTGGCCGAACACAGAAAGGCAAGTTCTGAAGGCAGCCGGCTCCCTAACAGTGACGGGAGTGGGCCTGCCTGGCTTGGCAGGGGCTCTGGTGACATGTGTGTCCCCTCATGCCTGATAAGAAAGGAAGGGTGAAGAGCTTCTTTTGAGGAAGGGGAGTCTGGTACTCCTGCCCCTTCTACCATGGCAGGCATTCTCGTAGCCAAGGACACACACTTTCCCCTGCAGCCCAGGGTGCCAAGTAGGCACCGCTGAGGGTCTCAAAGGCCCTCGCCTACCAAGGCATTCCACAGGGACCTCCTTCCTCCCCTGGCACTGGCCAGGGCCCCGGTGCGCGGCAGGCTCGTTCCTCTGCTCCCCGCAACCCTGGCCCCAGCGTTGCTCCTGCCTGTCCCTCGTGTTCCAACTAAAGGAAGGAGCTTTCTTTGCTCACTTGATGCCACTGAGGCTGCTTTTTAGTTGGTGCTACTCTCCATTTCCTCTTGGGTCCACAAAAGTTGATGTTGGAGAAACGTAACAGGAAGCTCCATTTTGTGTCATCCACTGTCACAGTAATTTTTTTAAATACCTCAAAAACAGGACATTGTGACAACTTCAGTAAAGTAGATTCCGCGAGGGTCTGACACCTGCAGGTTGTCCATCCGCTGACTGACTTGACCTTGAAGCATCTGGGGTCATTTTACTTTTCACTCTTCGGCAGTTAATCATGGCAGAACATCAAAAGGAATGAGTGTGGTTGACTTTCTTTCATTTTCTTGGTCAGTTTTGCTTTCGGATACAATGTGAATCCCCCGTGCCCATCTCACTGAGCTTTGGCAGGCGTTGTTGCTGTCATTTGACATGACTTCCTCGAAACCTACTTTATCAGCCAGCTGCATCTGCTGGAGTACGCAGCCACCTTGGACATACCCTGGACCAAAATTTTTTGAGGTGCGTATCCCAGCATAGGTTATATACGGCCCCACCCCATGTGTGCGTAGAGAGTCTCCGCGTGCGACCTTGTCTTGGCGCTCCCGGCCCTTCCTCCCACAGAGCAGAGCAATAGGCTTCTCCCCTGAGCAGAGGCTGCAGCACAGAAATGCAAAGTCTAAAGTTGCTTTTGGCCTAAGGATCAGTGCGTGATTTGGCCGACTTCGTTTGCTTCTCTTCTGATATCAGGGATGCTTTTTGTAGTGGTGTCATTTGCGCTCTTCTCATTTTGACTACCTGTCATTCAGGGAAAATTCATCACTATTCACATGGGGATTGAAAAAATACTATTTGGCTCATTTGAACATCCAAAATTTTCTTGATTCCAGTACCCTTTTTGTTTTTGTTTTTTTTCTTTTGAGGGGAAAAAGGAGGAGAAAAACAGGAGTGATGTCATTTCTTTTTCGCATATTCTAAAAAGAAATAAGAGCAGGTCATATTGTGGCATATTAATGCATTAGACTTAATCTAGAACCCCTATAGCTTTTTGATGTGTTTTATTTCTTCTCTCTTTGAATTCCCGTTTGGTTACTTGGCTTCCAATGGAGGTGAACTTAACAACCATACTTGAATATTCCGTCTTGACTTTGTAACTGTGGCTACTTGAAATGAAGTTTATCTGGGGTTGATGGATGAATGGTAGATTTTTGCAATGTCTCAAGGCAATAGGATGTGTATTAAACTGTAGATATTCTTAGTACAGTAAATTTATGCTGATAATTTTATTTTGTATAATTTTTACCTTTTTGTTAATATTTTTTCCTCCCACTTTATTGGTTTGCCTCCTGAGCTACCCCTCCTTACCCTCCCTTCTCCCCCAGTGTTTCAGTAAATTTAATTTAGGGTGCCTAGAAATTGCAAGTATGTATCCTTTTTTGATTTGTATTTTATTATAATTTACACAAACAACTGGGTTTGTGAACTGTATTACTCCTGGTATCTTTAAAATATTGTGGGTGTTTTAATAAATTTTATATTTATTTTTTGCACTCAAATTCAGAGTGGGTTCTTTTTTCCCCCCTGTCCATCCCCACTCCCTTGAGCCAGGCCCAGACTGGTATTTAAGACTCACTCTAACCCTGCCCTCCCACCGTGTGTTGTAAGTGCACCCCTGAAGCCCTCACTAATAGCAACAGTAGAGCCTGGCCTGGTCTCCTCCTGCCACCTGCATAATGTTCAAAGGCCATCAGCTTGTGATGTAATTGAGACATATGTGGGAACAAAACAGAGATGGCCTTTTTCTCATCTATGTTTCTGTTTTTGGGTTTTTTTTTTTTCCTTTTATCTTTTTATCCCCTTTTTTCATTCTAGTTGGAGACTCTCTCCCCCTCCCCCCAGTTAAGATTGTTTACCTCTGATGTAATATTTGCTAAAAAACAGCTGATTCCAGCTTCATTCTGATGACCTGAACACTGGTCTAGTAGGAAGGGCCAAATATGGAGCCCTAGATTTTGCTGTCCTTGGGGAAAGGAGCATTCCCATAAGGCCCCCTTTTAATTCAGATTGCCAGGCCTGCTGCAGCAAACATGGTTGTAAGAAGGAAGTTGAAAGCAATACAGACCTACTCAAGAAGCAAGAAAAATCTCAAACCTTACAACTAAAGAAGCTAGAAAAAGAACAAACAAAACCCAAAACCAGCAGGAGGAAGGAAATAATAAGATTAGAGCAGAAAGAAATTATGCAGAAACCAAAGGAACAGATCAATGAAACTAGGAGATGATTCTTTGAAATGACTGATAAAATTGATAAAGCTCTAGCCAGACTCATTTAAGAAAAGACTCAAAATTACTAATGAAAGAGGAGAAATAATAACCAACATCACCCAAGTACAATTGTAACAGAATATTATGAAAACTTACATGCCAAGAATTTGGACAACATAGAAGAAATGGGTAAATTCCTAGAATCATATAACCTACCAAAACTAAAGAAGAAATAGAAGATTTGAACAGAGCAATTACCAAAAATGAAACTGAATCAGTAGTCAAAAAACTCCCAACAAACAAAAGTCCACGACCTGATAGCTTCATAGAATTCTACCAAACATTTAAAGAAGAGTTAATACCTATTCCTTCTCAAACTATTCTCAGAAAACAAAAGACAGGGGCTCCTGGATGGCTCAGTGGGTTGGGGCCTCTGCCTTCGGCTTGGGTCATGGTCTCAGGATCCTGGGATCGAGCCCCGCATCGGGCGCTCTGCTCGGCGGGGAGCCTGCTTCCCTCTCTCTCTCTGCCTGCCTCTCTGCCTACTTGTGATCTCTGTCAAATAAATAAATGGAATCTTTAAAAAAGAAAGAAAGAAAGGAAGAAAACAAAAGACAAAAGAAAACTTCCAAATTCATTCCATGAGGCCAGCAATACCCTGATACCAACACCAGATAAAGATATTACCCAAAAAAAAAAAAAAAAGAAAGAAAAAAAAAAGCATACAAGCCAATATCTCATGAATACAGGTGTAAAAATCATCACCAAGTACTAGGCAATCAAATCCAAAAATACATTTGCAAAATCATACACCACAATCAGGTGGGATTTACCCCAGAATACAAGGTTTGTTCAGTATTTACAAAACTATCAACAGGATACATCATATCATTTAAAGATAGGACAAAGCGCCTGGGTGGCTCAGTGGGTTAAGCCTCTGCCTTCTGCTCAGGTCATGATCTCAGGGTCCTGGGATCGAGTCCTGCATTGGACTCTGCTCAGCAGGGAGTCTGCTTCTCCCTCCCACTCTCCCTTTGTGCTCTCTCTCAAACAAAATCTTTTTAAAAAAGGATAAAAACCATATAATCAGTTCAGTTGATCCTGAAAAAGCATTTAACAAAGTACAACACCCATTCATGATAAAAACCCTCTGCAAAGTAGGTCTAGAAGGAAAATGCCTCAACATAATAAAGGCCATATATGAAAACCCACAGCAGACATCATACACAATGGTGAAAAACTGAGAGCTTCTCCCCCTAAAGTCAGAAACGCCAAGGATGTCCACCCTCACCATTTTTATTCAGCATGGTACTGGAAGTCCCAGCCCCAAGCAATGAACATAAAGAAATAAAACAGACAACATAAAGAAATAAAAGACATCCAGACTGGTAAGAAAGAAAGAAAACTTTCACTGTTCACAGATGACATGATGCTTTATAGAGCAAACCCTAAAGACGCCACCAAAAAGCTATAGAACTGATAAATGAATTCAGTAAAGTCACAGGATACAAAATCCATGTACAGAAATCTGTTACATTCCTATATACTAATAATGAAGCAGCAAAGAGAAATTAAGAAAAACAATCCCACTTTTAATTGCACCAAAACCAATAGAATACCCAGGAATAAAC